AAGCAGACTAATAGAGTGCAGATCATCAGCAGCGAACATATGCAAGACACTCAGCTATGCATCCAAATAAATATGGGAGCCCTTTAGCACCTGGCCTGCTAGCAGTCACAGTATCCTCTTCAGCCACACCATACTTGGGAGGGTAGAGAAGCCCTCAGCAGAGTCAAGAGCATGCCTTTCTGATTAAGCTGGTAATCTGCAATGTTCAGCTTTTCCCTTTTGCCTTTTGACACTAGGGAGGGAAGATGAGTAGGCATAGACTATGTTGTGCTGGAAATTTATCCTCAGCCTAAAAAAGTGCAGGTTTTGAGGACCATCTTCAGGACTGAAAGAGGAAACAGGAGGTGCTGTGGGGCTGACAGGGACATCCAAGCCTTGCAGCAATTCACCTAAGGGTTTTCTGCATGTTCCTTAAAAGGGTATTAGCAGTATAAATGGTTCTTGCCTTTTTAGGCTGAGTTGCCACATGGTCTAGTTCTTTGCTATGGGGCACAACTGACTTTGTTGCTAAACTAATCATGAAGGTGGGTATTTTCAGGCAGCATTAAAGCAAATTCCATGGAAATGATGGATCATTCTTGCCTTACTTAAGAGTTGATTTTGCTTGGGATCTTCTGACAATATCACTGTTGATTTTTGTTATTAAAACAGAAAGTTTTTGAAGAAATATATTGGTTTCAGATGAAAATGTCTCTTACCCACAACAGCAGACGTGGTCAAAAAAGGAGGGAGTAGGTACTCATTTGAAGTGGGGAGGTTCAGCTCCATATTCTGGCTGTTTTCCTGGTTTTCTGGGTGCAAACCAGGGCCATTTCACCTTGGTGCTCTTAGAAGTGGTCCCTGCTCACTGAGAGCGCCTGCTAGGCAGCTCCGCCCCCTCAGCTGAACAAGGCCACGTAATGAGCAGACTCAGATGAAGCAGCAGAAGTCTATGGCACAGGGATAAGATGAGGTTTAGGGAGCACAGAGAGCTAAAGCAACCAGTTACTTTCTGGAAGTAATGCAGTAGGGACCCTGCCCAAGGGAGGTCTTACCCCTATTGCCAAAGGGAGGCTGTGCTGTGTGGTCACTCCACTAATCTGTCCTGACATGCAAGAAATAACATGTTTTACTTACCCTACTCCACAGTCCAATGAATTTTCAGGCATGCAAACTTTAAAAGTGCGTAGGAACCCACGCAGGAGCCATCTGAATCCGTGTTTTCCATGACACAGATTGGTGCTCTGCTCTCCAGGAGGAAGGTGGGGAATTTAGTGAGGGGAAGGAGGCAGCAAGGGCATTCACTGTTTCTTGACAGCATTTAAAATGTCCCAGGTTCATTCCACATTGCAGCAAAACCCTGTTTCTGAACTTCAGCTCTTCTTTGTGAAATGACGTTCTTGGTTTGCAGCCAGCCTGAAAAGACAGTCTCTAAGGTTATCAGTTCAGCTTCAGCCCAGGAATGATCAGGGAAAGGAAACAAATCCATTACTGCTTGACAGATGGATTTGACTCTGTGTGGAATGGGTTGGTGGGCTAAGGCCAAGTGGAACAAAGTAAAAATCTTAGGTTGTTTTTCCTTCCCAATTGATAGTAGTTGGTAGAATCCAAGGGCTGACAAAAGTGCAAAAGAACCTGTATTACCCAGAAAACTTGATGTGAAATACGTATCTATCCCCAGGTACTTGCCTCATGCTACCCCAAAAACCCTGCATCAGTACTGAATGGAAATATCTGACTATTATTGTAGTAAGAAAACAAAGAAATAAGGACTAGAAGAGGCAGTTGGGTCACTGAAGCCTGGTTCCCTGCTATTCCTAGTAACTACTGCATATCATCGCTTGCACAGCTGGATCTTAGTTGCAGGGCTATAGGCTCTCAAATATCACAGCAATGCTCCCATGAGAGTACCAAGGCAACAAAACCCTTGTGGAAGGCCGTGTTTGTCTGTTTCTTTTTCCTTAACCCTATATACAGCTCTTTGGAGGAAGTTAGAGTTTTCCCCAGTATTCCAGTTCCAACTTGACAGCTCCCAATTTTAATCAAGCTTCTTCAGGGAGGACATTTTAAGGGGTAAAAAACCCCACGTATTTCACTTTTTCCTCCCCATTTTTCTCCAAGTTTCAGATGAGATGAGCCATCTCTGCCAGGATAATCTGTCAGCAACATGATCCACAGTGTATGTGTTTAGGGAGAGCTTAAAATCAGGTCAGGTATAATGTAGCATTTTCCCATAATATCCTCTCAGCACTCATTTATTTAGGAACCTTTCAAGATGGAGACTGGATTTAGACTGTTGTATTAATGACCAATGGGCTTGTTCTCCCCAAACTTACCTGGTTTTTAACCCATTTCTGCTTTTGATTTCTAAAGTAACCTATGGAAATGAATCCCACAGCATTCATTTTAAACATCTGTACCTAGAAACCCAGAAGATTGGAAAAATATTGTTTCAAAAGTTACTTTGGTGGTGCCCAGTGCTTATAAACAATCAGATATTTGCATCTCCAGTGATCTATCTTGTCCCCCAACCCCTAAAAGCTTAGATGAACCCAAACTGTAGGCTGGGACCCAGAAGGAGAGCTAACACTCAATTTGAGGATCCAGGATTTAGCAATTCTTTGCATCCCATAAAAAGCAAAAGCAGCTGCAAAGCTGAACTTCAGATGTGAACTTGCAAACTTCCTGAGACTGGTGCCACTGGGATTTAACTGGAACTCACAGTCCACTTCAGGTTTGCAGTGATGCTTTTCTCCAATTGCTGGCTCTGTCCTGCCTCCTTCTGTAACTCTTGCACTTGAGCATGCACAGATAACAAAGAATGAAACAGTAAGAGCAGAATGGTTTATAGACTCATATATATTCATGTTTTCCCATTTAAAAAAATAAAACAAAACACAACACCAAAAATAAATTAAAAAAAAACACCAAAACCCAACCACCAACAACAAAAAAACCCCAAACAACCCCCCAAAAAAACCCCAAGCAAACATATAAAAAATCCCCACACAAACAACAAAGCTCTGATAATGGATGTCACCACCCCCTGCTGAACTCCAGAGCCTCTTTTTGTGAAATGAGACAGAAATTGCGAAGTCTTAGGTGGATGCTTGACCTCCAAAAGATCTAGGGCTAGATCTCCAGAAGATCCAGGGGAGGTTAGGAAGGCAAATTTTTTATTATTTCAAATACATCAGGAGAATGGTTTGATTTTGATTTGGCTTTAGTCTAGCCTTTTCCTTCTTCTGGTAATGTTCACTGATCCTGATACACAGGCTATGCCACACTGTCTGATGAAAATGGGTTAGTAGGTTGCAACTATGGGGAACACCTATGCTCTTAACTGTCATATTTTGCATTTTCCACTGTTCTTTACAACCTTTTCTGGCATCTGGGTGAGATGTGAATGAGTCCTGGAGAAGACAGCAGACCCATCCAACAGTTCGTGTCAGACAGCTTGAAGTGACAAGATATTGAAAAACAGCATATGGAGGACCTTAATGTGTGGAGATAAACGGAGCTGCCTCCGAAACAAAGTAAGAAACACATCCCCCTCATCCACCTCCTCCTTTCAACAGTTTCCCCCTTGCATGTCTGAAGGTCTGATCCAGCAGGAGACAAGTTCCTGGTATGCAAACTAACTGAGAGGGACTCAGCCCCTGCAACACCCTCAGCACTTGATAGTATGTGCTTACTGTCTCTTCTTAAATCTGGAATAAGATAAATGATCCATCTTATAGGTAACTTTGAGACTTTGTTCTTTCCATGGGAAATACTTCACCTATTTCTTACTCCCCTAGGCTTCCAATGAAAAGCAAAGCAATTAATAAAGTGTAATTAATAAAGACAAAGAAGTATGGGACAGCTGTAGAAAAGGATGGGCTTTGAAGACTTTTGATATGATCACATGGGGCCAACATTCCTGACCTTCCAGGCCATGTACTAAAACACACACACACACAGGAGCACCAAGACATGCATAACTTAGATCAGAAAGCTGGAGAGTGGTGAAACATAACCAGAGCTCCACAGTGATATATCAGTCTTGGAAGAGCAAGAGCATGCACCCAGACAGTGGAGGTGTTGTATGGCAGGACCAGCAGCTCATTTCTTTCATTGATTGGAGGATCCAATTACTCAATAGGACCTACACCAGCATAGCCACATCATGGGAACATTAGCTCCCATACAAGAGCTGCTCAGGTGTGTGTGTCCTGGTAAGAAAAGGTTTCCCCTCCTCTTTTCTTCCCCTACATACCCATTTCACAGAGTCTTGATTAGATAAAGTTTAGCTTCCATCTCCCACTTAGGTACCAGGAGTCATCTTTTCCAATTTCTCTAGTAGCTTCTTTCCTTTAAAAAAAACCACATACACATCAAGAAGGCAAAGCATTTGCTTCCTATAGTTTTGGGGGCTCCAGCTGCAAAAAAAAACCACCATGGCCTCTAACTTTCTCCATCTTTTTTATTATTTTTTTTTAGAGCACTGGTATGTAATGGTTTTAGTTTTTGTGTAACTCTCTGCACCATAACGCTGAAGTAGACAAGCAGGCATTTCAGTTGTAGTGTTGCTTTTCTGCTCTTGTATCTTGCCAGTTCCCTTTGGGAGGGGGAGTACCGACTTTTTGCTCATTTAAAATCAGACTTATTCAGGTTGAAATTGTCTCTTCTGTTTGCAAAAAGGAAGATAGGAAGCATTTGCATCCCACTATGAAAGAGGAAGACTGCTCATGTATGCGTGTCTGAATGCACCATAATCTGAGCATTTTGTCTTTTTCTCTGAAATATGATTTTTTTTTCTCAGCCAAAACCATCTCTACCTCATACTTTTCCTCCTTAAGAAGGTTTGAGTATTTTCAGCCTCATCTGTGTTTACTCTTGTAGCCTGAACTGAGCCCTTTCCACTGATTACCCATAGTGATTAAGGTTAGATTTCAGCTGATTTGCACCCCAGGTTGCCACTGAATAATCCTGTGCTCTTTTAAAGTGCAACCACTGCCTCCATGCAGTACAAGTGGGATTTGAAGCTTGCAGGTCCTTTGTAGGTGTTTTTAGTATGCAACAAACAAATCTGAAGTAATTATACGAAAACAAATGACGCTGAAGCATAATACTACCTGTCCAGGTTAACTGTGCAGTAAGTCTTTAAACTTCTGTTTTTAATGCCCATGTGTTTATCCTCCTTCTCCATCCCCCCATTAGGTTTATGCTAGTCAGAATTAACCCCACCTATCTGCAGGGGATGAATGATTTTTTAGCAGACTCACTCAGCACTCCACACTTTCCACTGCAAAAGCCCTAGACACTTAGTGACAGAACAGTCAACAATGATATTAAAACATATAAAATATCTGTAAAACCTCTTCTTCCAGGAGATGACGAGGTGAGTTCTCCTCATGTTATTCTATTTGAGGCCATGTTGCAGTACCATATTAGCCTGGGAAAGTGGGTGTTTCCACACACTTGAAACTGAATTCCTAGCCTGCTTGTGCTCAAGTATAGACTGGACTATCTATCTATCTACATATACATAATATATCTCAGGTATAGCATGGGAGATATAGATATATATATACACACACTGGGAGTATATAGTGGCCCCAGGGTACAGTCAATATTTAGCACAACTGAGAAATGTGCCTCAGTTTCAGGATTTTGGTGATCACAGTTAACCAAGTTGTCAGTACTTGGTGACATTTAATGCATTTTCTATTATGGGTGGAGAAAATTATAGGCAGTACCTTACGACAGCTGTTGGAGGCAAGATCCTTTCCTGGAAGTGTCTCTGATCTTCCATGCTGTGAGCTCACAGTATGCAGTGGTGGCAGGTGAGGTCAAAAGAGGCTATGGACACTGGGTGAGCAGTGGGATACTTGTGTGGCTCTTTCTTCTGGGAATGCAGTCTCCTCTTTTCTGCCACCAAGGCAATGATCCTTTCTTAGTGTCACTTTTCCAATGGCTCCATTTGCTGCAGCCACAAGGAGAGAGGGGAGCTAATTCTGGGTGCTGAGAAATGGAAGAGAGAAATAATAAACACTGGACAACAGTGCCTCTATTAAGAGGAGACCTGAAGGTCATAGGGAAACTGGAGTAATGGCAAGAGATACTGGTGTACAGTGATGTATCTTCTTTGATTTCTGTATATAACTTACATCAGGAGAGGACCAGGGCAAAGACTGGTGGGAGAGGGAAAGAAGGAGCAGGCGTGACTGAGTCCATATTCATGGCTGAGAGGCAGGAGTAGAACCCAGGGCTCCCAATCATGACAGCCTCCCACTGTCTTCCCTTGAATTATTGCCTTGATTAGCGTGATGTCTTGCTCCTGGCAACCATGTGGCATTGAGTCTATGCAGGAAAATATATGAGTGTAGAGAATAATTGGTTCTTTGCTATTAGATTGCACAAATGTCAAAGTGTACTGGGGAGAGAGAGACAGCTGAAAAGTCACATTCCCTGCAAACGCTGTGGCACTGACCTCTTGTGCCTGTAAAAACTGGGAATCACAGACAATCTGTTGTGATGCCATGGCTTCTTGTGGTGGGGGACTGCAAGATCTCAGTACAAACACTGGTTTCTCAGCTGGCAACACTGGAGTTCTTTGTAGCACCGGGTCAGGTTGTGTATAGGGGGAGTTATATAAGATTTTCTTGCTATGTGATCTGCCTTGTTGCATTATTCTAACAAATTAGACACTAGAAAGACACTCTGCTCTCTATGTACCATCCTGAGGACATCTCTCTCTTCCCCTGAACTCTGGCAGCTCTGATTTACTTAGGACAAACATGGTATTTTTGAAGGATCTTGCTGCTTATGTCTGTGGGCTCTGTGGAAACCCTATGATTTTTAATGCCCCTCACTTGTATCTCCATCAACCATGATGGAATTTCTAAAAAGCTGAATACCTTTGCAAACTGCTGACTCCAAACCTTTCAACATGGAGCTTTGTCTAACATGAAAGGATTTGCATCTACAATTTCCCTCTTTTGGTAGCATCTCCCACCTGCAGAAGGGTTCAAGTCTTCAAGATATGGCCTGTTTCAAGATACATGTCCTACAGGAGAAGTCACAGTAACAAACAATGAGAATTCATCTTTGTGCCCAGAAGACTCTAAATTTACTTGAAAACCAGGCAGTAGAAGTGTGCGAAATCCATACAGAAGGAGGTGGTCCCACATACAGTACCTGACATACTGCAGCCAGCAGCTAGTAATAAGTAACCAAGGTCATTTCTAATATGAGGATCTCTAAGCAAAAACCTTACTGTGGGCTGTAGGCAGATTCTGCTTTACTTTGCTGCATCTCATCAAGCTCATGCTTGATACATTGGGTAGGCAAGTCATTTAGCTTTTTAGTGTATTTGCCCTGTTTGTGCTGTGGCAATGAAATGGAAGATGAATGGTCAAGATGCATTGCTTCTGCATCGAAGTGACAAGGGAAATTTATGTTCAGGCACTCTTATCCTACAAAGCCATGGCTAAAATGTAACCAGGTTTTCTAGTGCGAGATAGAGCCTCTCCAGAGCCCCTTCTCTTGTGCAGACCTGTTATGTCCTAAAGCTTCTATACAATTGTTGTAGCACTTGTCTTTACAGACAGGCTTAGAGATCATGGATTTACAGAACTGTTTCACAGTGCTTATCCATTGGTCCTGGCCTCAGTTTTGTGATGTCAAACTTCAGTGGAATTTAGATAGGATCTCAAAGCAGGGGGGAGATCAGAGAATGTATTGACAATTCATATCCTATCCTATTGTCATTCATTTATCATGCTGTCTCCCTTGTGAATCAATGTTTAGGTATACTGTAGAAAGAGAGTCTTTATGGTGAAGTGGTTTAGAAGCCAAGGCCTACAGTGAGAGTGTCCTTATTTCCTTCCTCCTTTCTTTGAATCTCCTCTTGCCCTGCTGAACTACTGACCCCACCCCATCCCTTCTTGAGGTGCTGCAAGTCATTTTTTTATGGTGTTTTAATTGAAACTGCATTTTTCCATATAATTGTTCAGGGAAAATGCTGGGGTTTGAAAATAAAATGATTTTCACTGACAGAAAAATCCCTGGCCTGGCTGCACCTAGGAATGGGCATCAAGCTGTCACTTCCCATCTCCCAGTCACCACAAGGAATGAGGAGAATCAAGCATATGGCTGCTTGATGGTAGCTCTTTCTTCAGAAAATGAAAGAACCCGTAGAGGAAATCAAAGGCATGCTGGCCATTTAGTTGCTTCCTAAGTCAATAGCACACAGTGCCTCTGGCATCACTTCTGTGCAAGATTTGCTTCCCAAGGCCATCAGTTGGTTGGTGACTAAATGGGAAGCCTAGACACAAAGAGCCGTTTCCTCCTGCTGCCATGATCTCTGTTCAGGTCTGTTGGCCACCTACGCATTACAGTCAAGACCGTGCAAAACTTCTCCCGGTGTAGTGTGAAATTTGCTCCAGAAAAGCAGAAACATCTGGTTAGAGCCAGGAAGTGGTTGCTGGCTGGGTTTGGCAACAAGGGAACGTGTAGTTAATACACTCTTACCTCATCAGTAGGTGTCACTGCAGCAAAAGACAGGGTCCAGTGGAAAGTTTCAGAGGGGAATAGAGAGGGGTACTTCAGCCAACCAACCAGATGCAGTCAGTTCAGTGCTTCCTGACTACAGCCAGAGAACAGCTATGGATCTGGGTTTATGAATTGCTTGTAATAAGGCCATAGGAAATGAGAGATTAAGGAAATGAGTCATTAAGTGATTACAAAGACATGTGAAGCACACACAGTTGTGGCCGCCAGTAACAGAGCGTTGAGCAACTGTAAATTTCTTCTGCGGGGGTTTTGGGAATGTTCCTGCTGAACTTGTATGCAGTAGTGAGTTACGGTTCGATGGATGTAGTTGAAATGAACTGGTAGCAAGTTTCAGCCACTCTTAGCACAAAACCCACAAAAGAGTTTTCTACAACTCAAAATCACCCTTTTGATGCCAGGCCCAGTGACCAATCCCAGAAGAAATATTGCAACAATTAAGAAACAGTCCCCCTCTTGCACAGTAGGATTTAAGTTTGGTTTTCAGTATGGATGCAAAAGCTCTAACCAAGGCTCAGTTAAACCTTCTTTGTCAGGGCCAACATCTGAAAGCTGACAATGTAGCCCTATGCTAGGATCAGCTTCTGACTCAGTTTCTACATCATTGCCAAAAAAGCCCCCAGCAGCTGCTCCTCCTCATGCAAGGTGTTTCTCTGGTGTGTTGGAACTGGCATTCAGCACTGTCACATGGGGGGGTGTGGATAACCCAGTCTTGGGTCCGCAGAAAGCACAGGGCAGAGAGGAGTAGCACGGCTGCACTTGTTCAGCAGGTGCACTACCCTCAGCTGCTGAGCAGATGCTCTCTGGTGTGCTGGAGGCCTTTGTTCACACCACAGTGAACCTGCTGCCTTTCCCAGCCTCCCGGACAGCAACCTTTCTGGAGAGGCAGCCTCCTTCCCTCTGCCCCGCTGCAAAGCCAGCTACTGGAGATCCGTAAACGAGGTATGTTCATTTTAAAAATCCATCAGTTCAGAGGCAATGTGGGAAGCAGAATTCAGAAGCTGTCCCTCCAGGCAACTGGGATAAGTCACATATCCCATCAAAATGGACCCCTCATGTGGTTTGGCATCAAAAAACAACTTTTTAATCTTATTTTCTGGGAAGAACAGTCAGGAAAAAAAGATCCATAACACAGGGCAGGTCAGCTGTCAAACCTGGACTCTCCTGCACTCCATGACCTTCTTGCAGGTTCTTGATTGGGCATCCTGCTCCAGAGTGTGCTATGCAGCATCTCCTAACCTCTTCAGCAAATATGTTGCCAAATTATCAAATACTATGGAAGGAGGAAATGAGGCAGTCAGGTGTCTTTGATGCTATCCTAATTGCTTTACAAAGATGCACATAAGGTCCTAGTTGCTCCTGGTAGAACACTAAACTGTATGAGATAGGCTCTTTGAGTCTTTTTGGAAACTTTCTCCACAGTATTTTGCCTCAAAAGTATGTTGATTTTTCTACCACCATCTCTGCAGTCTGCAAGTGTTGGCTTTCAAACTGGCTCTAATGCTCTGTGCCTGGTTCCCTCTCCCATATATCTGACTCCCTCAACCTACTCCCCACCCTTTTGCCCTGTTTTTTTTTTTT